GAAGAAATTGTTTTCCAGCTGTATTAGGAAAGTTCTGGAATAAAATTACAACAACATACCAGAAAATCTAGGCTAAAAAACTAAACATTTTATTTTATATCAGGGGTGGGCAAACTTTTTGACTCGAGGGCCACAATGGGTTCTTAAACTGGAATGGAGGGCCGGAACAAAAGCATGGGTGGAGTGTTTGTGTGAACTAATATAAATTCAAAGTAAACATCATTACATAAAAGGGTACGGTCTTTTTTTTTTTTTTAGTTTTATTCATTTCAAACGGGCCAGATCCAGCCCGCGGGCCGTAGTTTGCCCACGGCTGCTCTGTCCACTGAGCCAAACCGATTAGGACAAGTGTATGCAGTTGAGTTGGTCACGGGGACCGTTGCCCTGGGGGTTGGAGGACAGAGCCTCCCGTTGGCATTCGATGTGTGTTCTCAGCCAAGCTGGGAGTGAACACAGAACTGGGGCTCCTCGGAGACTGGCTGCTGATCATGCGTTTTCACCGTTTCAGGGCCATCATCGTCAGGAATGGAGAAATCATCCCCATGTCTTCGGAATTCACCCCCGAGACGGAGCGCCAGCGACTCCAGTACCTGGTAAGAGCCCCGTGGGTCTGGCAGAGCGCGCTGGCATCGGGGAGGGGGGCGGCATCCGGGCTGTTGGGAGGAACACGTTGCTCCTGACATGGGAGCGGGCCCGCAGCAGACGAACGACATATGGTACGAGCTCCCCCACACACACCTTCCGATCACACATCCTGCTCCGTGTGTGACGACACACCCCACCTCCGTGAATGTATTATTGCGGCTGATTTTCTCCCATCTGTGGCCAGACGCATGCTCTGTTTCTTCTTCCCCCCTCCACGCGCCCCCCCTCCCCCCAGAGGACTAAACCTTTATAAAGCGTGATCACATTGAAATAAGTAACATAGCTTAGTCATTGGAAACCAGTTTTTTTATTTTAAAAGGTAGGAAGTACTAGGATGCTTTTGATTGAAACTCTCAGAAACCCCTATGTCAGTGTGTAAACAGTGAGGGTCTGTGTGTTTACAGTGTTCGGCGTTTGGACGGCCCCCAGCGTTGGTGACCGAGTGGCTCAGTATTTCACCGAGGACGTGATTTCCCCTCTCCCTGCGCCAGCCTCGAACCTGGCTTTTTGTCAGGATGGTGGCAGTTGGGATGCAGCCACTCAGGGTGTCCCTCAGGGGCAGGAGTGGCCCAGAGGAGGTTAAAGGGTTACCTTGCACCACAAGCCACTGATAGACAGGAGAGCCGTGCTCTGCTTCCCTTCATGGGCTGGTAGGTGCAATATGAAGTGCGGTGTTGAGGAGCGCAGACGCCTTCTTCCTGGGCCTGCCGCTCACTTTAATTTAAACCGAGGGGCTCGGCCCGAATCCCGTGGTGAGGAGGACGGCAGCCCGAGGTCCTGCTGACTCACCACTCACGCCACGCCCCGATGCGAGGTCTCCGGGCTCCTCTGGGGCAGATGCAGTGCCAGAAAACGTTTCTACCCTGAACATAAATTCTTGTAGATCACTGTGTTTGGGGTGAAGTGATGAGAGGGCTGGAGGAGAGGGGGCTGTTTGGTTTTTCAGAGCTTGAGAATTTTTGCTTCATTTGGAGATTTGAGTTTTCACGTTCCTGTCCTCAATGACAGGGGCAGGGGCAGGGGTTAGCCCCTCAGTTCAGTGACTTTGCTCGTCCTCCTAGGTTACTTTTGGTGGGGCGCCTTTGGGGACTCACTGTGCGAATAGTTTTGTGGATGAAGTATTTCCTTGGCAGCTGGCTTTCTTTTAGGAGAACATGACCCTCTGCTCTTAGATAAGAATTGATCCAGGCTCCTCAAAAAGGACTTTGTTTGCGTCTCGGCATTTCAGCAGGTGTGTGAGAGGCCAGGATTTCATTACTTTGTTCAATTGACAGTTTCCCTCAATTTTCTCGTCTGTCCTTTTCTTTGTTTTACTCAATAAGTAAGCTCTTTTGCTTTGGGCAGCTACCTGGCACATAAAACAGCTGGCATTTCTTCCCTCTTTACCAGCGATGCTTTTCTAATCTTCCTGTTGTTTCCAAGCAGATGCACTGCTCCCAGGAGCCCAGACCTTAGAGCCCTTCATCTTCTATGCAGGCTGAGCAGGCGGGGTCCTGCAGCATCCACGGGGGTCTTCATTCTGGTCCCAGCTCTGGCACTGGCCAGTTGGGTAGCCTTGTACGAGTCTCAACATTTTCAGACCTCGAAGTGTCACTTAGAAAATGGAGAACTAGATCAGAGGGTCTTCCAGGCAGAGTTCACACCCACTGGCCTCCTTGCCATCTCTCTGGTGTCCTCCAGTCCGTCTTCCCCAAGCCACACATGTGGTCTAATCACGGCCCTCCTCACTCCCCCCTAAAAACCTTTGGCTTCCCGTCGCGCACAGAATGCAGGCCTCCCTTGGCAGACCCACAGTCCTCGTCCCCACCCTTCTCTCCAGCATCATCCCACGGCTACCCCCGCCAACGCCATCGTGCCCAGGCGTCAGCACAGACAACTGTCTTCCATGGACAGGACACACCGTGATCTTTCCCACCTCCATGCCTTTGGAAATATGCACTGCCTAGATGACCCTTCTCCTCTTCTCTGCCAGGAAAACTCCTCCTCATTCTTTGAGACCCCAAAAGCAAATCTCCCTCCCTCCAGGAAGTGTCCCCTAACCCCCGGAGGTCAGTCCCCAGTGCTCATACAGCACTGTGTGCGCATATGGTATTGTATAGGCTTATTTTGCCTCCCCTTGCACACTGAGTCCTGGAGGACTGGCCCCTTACTTAGTCACCTCATACTGCCGGACCAATGTTACGGAAGTTACCAGGCGGCGGAACACAAAACAGCCAGGCACTCAGGAAGCACTGGTGCTGGCTCAGGGGAATCTTTACCCAAAGCTGAGCACTGAATGCGGCAGGGCTTTCCCTTTTATCCCCTAGTTTCTTTGTCTCCCAAATATGGGCCAGGCTTCTGGACTTTTCAAGGGCTTTTACAGCCCCTGTGACAGTTCTAAGGGGGGAAGTGAGATAGCGACCAAGACCCCATCTGGCACCGGCAGTCAGACCGTTGTGGGGCTGTGTATGGTTATAGCTCCTGTTAAGATAAGCATTCAGGGAAACAGGTTTTGCAAGGCTAGCTAGGGCACAAGTGGAAAGGGGGTTGGGGCTAGCAAGCATATGCATCGGAATGCAGGTTTGGGCGGGGCATGCAGGTGGGCAGGGGGGCAGGGAGCGGGGCTCAAGCTGCCTTCGCACCAGTACAGAGGAGGTACTGATGCGGGGCCTGTTGGCTGACTGACGTCTAGATCATGACCACACAGCACTTTCCCCTCCACCTTCCCCCAAAACCTATCTCAGCAGCACCCGTGCCTCCCAAGCCTTGACGGCAACATCTTCATCCCCTCCTTGCCCCTGAGTGGAACCTAGTTCCTGTTTTCCTGTTAGAAGCCATGGGTAATAATTCCAGGTTAACTTTTTAAATTTTGAAATAATTTCACACTTTCATGTTACAAGAATGAAAAACTCAAAACGTTGACTTTTGAGGAGGGATCGGAATGCTGACGTGTTTCAGATGCCTGAGTATCAGCCGTCTATTTTGGGATGGCTTCAGCTCTCAGCTTTGTCACGCAGCTAGGCTGTGATTTCAGCCAGGCCCCTTTCCAAGCCCGGCTCCACCGTCTGCACCGGGTGTAGAAAACCTCAGCAGGCAGGTGCATGGGTTAACTGAAACAACACAGGCAGATGCTTTTGTGGAACCCAGTACCCGTTTGCTACTGTTTGATGCATCAAAGTCTTGACACTTCAAATCCTACTGACCCACAAACCACAGGAATATCTTTTCCTTCTTTTGCCTTAGTCATCACTCCTGGTGTTCCTGAGATTATTGTGTGTTTTGGAGTCACTCTTGAACAATTAGTGTGGACATCATTGGTTCCCAGACCCGAGCCTAATGTCTGAATTTCTGAAAGGGAAGCACACTGTCTCCATTCTCTTTAATCCTTGCTCCTAAACCAGGTAGGTTTCTCTGTAAAACTCTTCTCCCCCGACGACAGGAGTGTGAGTGAATAGGACATGAAATACCCTGGTTTTCCAGTGTCGTCTTCTGTAGGAGTCTAAGAATGTACGCTTTGAAATGAACAAAGCCAGTGGTGATAGTCACGTGACCGGCGATGTGCATCTTTGCGAAGTATTTGAATTAGGGGATTTATAGCATACGATAACCTTGTGGTGAGATCTTTATAGTAGCCGAAACCGGTTTGGCTCAGTGGATAGAGCGTCGGCCTGCGGACTGAAAGGTCCCAGGTTTGATTCCGGTCAAGGGCATGTACCTTGGTTGCGGGCACATCCCCAGTGGGGAGTGTGCAGGAGGCAGCTGGTCGATGTTTCTCTCTCATCGATGTTTCTAACTCTATCTCTCTCCTTTCCTCTCTGTGAAAACTCAATAAAATATATTTTTAAAAAAAAAGAAAGAAAAAAAGATCTTTATAGTAAAGTATTGAGAAAACTAGGATGTTTTTAGGGTAAAATCTTGGAAATGATATCAGTGTGACCTGGACTTCTCTCAGCCCAGCCCCAACCTGGGCTGTGTGACCTCAAGTCCCCGACTTGGGATCTCTGCATCTCCTTTTCTCCTCAGTGGGATCATGGGATACTTCTCATGAGATAGTCATCATATGTTCTGAAATTGATAGGAGAAGTAATCCCATGGTAATATTAAATATACTATCTGTAATAATAAAAGTGTAATATGCTAATTAGACTAGATGTCCTTCCGGATGACCTTCCCGATGAAGCTGGGGCTGCGAGGGAAGCCCGGCTCCTGGGTGCAGGAGGGAAGCCTGGGTCCCAGGTGCCAGAGGGAAACCGGTGCCAGCAGCCAGGAGAAGGAAGGCCGACTCTTGCATGAATTTCATGCATTGGGCATCTAGTATATCTTATAATTGTGAGTGCACCGAATTCTACCCAATTCATTTTTTTGGAAACATTTTCCTGGAACTAATTGTGAAGCAGTTTAGTGTAATGATAGTTGTACCCTTTTCACGACTTAAACAAGTTAGTACATAGCTGGGGAGTTAACAGTGTAGTCTTTATTCTTAGGTCAAATTAAATTTTATTTTTACGAGGTGTGAAGAAACACTGACGATAGAATTATTAAAACTTCTAGGCCCTTCGAGACTTGGTTTGAGCAGCTGCCTGCAGTCCCAGGGCTGTTTGACTAGTAGAAATGGTTAATGATTTTTCTTGGAGGGAGAGAGGGCTTGGAGCCCTTGGTACTCGGACCAGTTGGATCCGTGTGGCAGAGGAATGTCCTTGGAATGCACGGTCTGGATGTGGGGGATTATGGAGCTGGAAGCAGATTACAGGATGATGGATGCGGCAGGCACGCTCATTGTGTTCCGTCTCGCATGCTGACCTCGAGGGCCCTTCCTGCATCTCCCAGTGTAATGTGAACTCTGCTCCGTAGATTCCTGGGCCGGTGATTAATCAAGCAGGCTTGTGGGTTTGACGTGTTCACACAGAATGTGGCAGGTGTGTGATGAAGGGGCCAGGCTATGACTTCTGCCCCCGCAGCTGGGGAGGGC